GGGCCTGGGGCCGCAGTGCCTGAGGCCACAGTGCCCCACGCTCCCCAGGACTCCTCTTACATCTCCTCTTTTGTGATTTTCTGCCTAGAGAGCAGCTACGACGCTGGATGAGAAGATTGAGAAAGTGAGACAGAAAAGGAAGTTCCAGGTTAGGGCCCTTCTTTGTCATTGCAGGAAAAAGTGGTATGAGTTTGGCCTTCTGCTGTGTTCCCTCCAGGGGCACAGACACTGAAAGCATCCAGAGGTGCAGCGCTCAAGCTGCAGCTCATCACCTCCACTGGGTTTGCTGCCACACAAGAATGCAGATTTGTTAATACTTGAAGTTATGCAAAACCAGGGGTCTGCAAGTGAGCTGATAACAACAACAAACAAAAGGTCACAAAGGACTGAAGTTTCTTTTTTAACCTTTCTTTTTAGAATTTTAATCTTTTTTCTAGGAAAAAGAAGCTAAACTAGCAAAAGTGAGAGATGAAGATGCAAAGACTGAGGATAATCAAACCAAAAAGAGGGAGTGTGAGGATTTCTGTAGGGATGAAAAAGAGGACGATGTGGAGTCTCAGTATTCTTTGGATGATGAAACAGTCTTCACCAAAGCAGGTATTAGCACCACATAGATGGTCAGGAGCAAGAATGGGACAGACTGTTGGCTCACTGGAGAAGAGTCTGTAGTGAAGCCTTCCTGGGTGTGGACAAGAATGTTATATTTTTTGTTGCCTTCCTTCTGTGACATTCTTTCTGATGTTGATCAAGCTTGTCTTGAGTGGCAGCCATAGTATTTTAATTGAATTTGTCCCTGAGGAAGGATATTTGTTTGGCATTTTCCTACCTTGCATGCCTTTACTTATTTCTGAAGCCTCTCCTTCAGTAGCTTGTTCAGAACAAGAAGTAGGAGATGAAGGTAGTTGCTGTATCTTGTTAAGTGTTCAGTTGTGCTTTTGTTAATCCATGTCACATTTTGCTTTCTCTGTAGATACGGTCAAAGTGAAGGAACAGAGGAGATCAAAGAAGAAAGAAATGGTAAATGTTGGACAGAATGACACTAGGTCATTCTTCAGCATTTCTTCTGAAGAAATTTGACTTTGGATAACAAACTGTAGCACAAAAAACATCCCAGAGCCTTTGACAACATGTTGCCGCTTGTGTTGTTCTAGTTTTGTTGTTGTTGCTGTTTCTAGGAAGCAGAAAGCTTCTTTGAAGATGCGTCTCAATACGATGAGAATCTGTCATTCCAGGACATGAATCTGTCACGACCTTTGCTAAAGGTATTTATCTAGTCTCCCCTCCACCAATCAGAACTGTCAAATTCCACTTCTCTTTGCATCCTCTCTGAAAAGGAAATCCTGTGAGAGGTAGTGTTACCGTCCTTTAGGAGCTGTTATTCCCAAATAATGGAAAACATTCTCTGATTTGCAACATGCCAACACTATCTTGAGTGTTCGCATGTCACAGAATTAGGGGATGGCTGAGGTTGGAAGGGATCTCTGGGGGTCGTCTTGTCCAAATTGCCTGCTCAGGTAGGGCCACCTAGAGCTGCTTGTGCAGGAGCATGTCCAGACAGCTTTTGAATATCTGAGGACAGAGAGTCTGCAACTTCTCTGGGCAAACTGCCAGTGCTCAGTCACCCTCACGGTGAAAAAGTATTTCTTGGTGTTCAAAGGGAACCTCCTGTGTTTCAGTTTGTGACGATTGCCTGTGGTCCCATCACTGGGCACTACTGAAAAGAGCCTGGCTTCGTCCTCTTCTGATCCTACCTTCACGTATCTGTATATCTGTATAAGACTATCCCCAATCTTTTGTACGCTGAACAGTCCCAGCTCTGTCAGCCTTGTCTTATATGTGAGGCGCTCCAGTCGCTTCATAATCTTTGTGCCCCTTTGCTGGACTCTCCACGATGTCCATGTCTCCTGTACTGGTGAGCCAAGCACTGGGCACAGTACTCCAGGCACGTCCATACCAGCGACAGTTGAGTTGCTCCATCTCCTTTGTAGGCAATCACAGCTCTTGGCTTCAAGCAACCAACCCCAATACAGAAGGCCTGTATCCCGGTGGGTCTTCTGGGGAAGGATATTTGTGCCTGTGCTGCCACTGGGACAGGTAGGGTGTTGAGCAGGGCACAGGAAATGTGGAGAACTAGCTAGTCACAGTAATTGGTAATTCTTGTTCGTTTTCTTATTTAGGTAAAACAGCTGCCTTCATCTTGCCTGTCCTTGAGCGCCTGATTTACAAACCTCGTCAGGCTCCGATAACACGGGTCTTGGTTCTCGTGCCCACACGAGAACTGGGGATTCAGGTGCACTCTGTCACCAAGCAGCTGGCGCAGTTCAGCAGTGTCACAACTTGCCTTGCTGTAGGTGAGTATTAGAGCTGCTGACGTGAAGTGCCGCTCGCTGTACGCTGCTACACCAAACTGGGAATCCTGTGTTGGAGAGCTGAAGGCTGTGCTGATGCTGCAGGCGTGCCTCTGGCAGCTGTGCTGCCGTTTAAAGGCTCGCCTTCCAACACGGTGCTGTCGGTTTTGTCTGTTGGTTTCTGAGAAGGAGAAGGTGGAGTCCCTTGTAATTGTGAATATGGTATTAATCTGAGTTGTTTCCCATTCCTCAGGCAATTTGCATCTGTGTACTGTGCTGCAGCCTGCTCAGGGAGTCAGCAGTCCATGTTCATTCTCTTTCAGGTGGCCTAGATGTGAAGACTCAGGAAGCAGCTCTGCGCTCTGGGCCAGACATCCTTATTGCCACTCCTGGGCGTCTGATTGATCATCTCCACAACTGCCCTTCTTTCCACCTGAGCAGCGTTGAGGTGCTGATTTTGGACGAAGCAGACAGGTAGGCCAGGCAGGACAGCAGTGAGAAATGAAATGGTGGCTTTCTGCTTTCCTTCTCCCATGCTATAGGGCAGTCTTTGTCGCCCTGCCTTAAGTAATGTTTCTTAGCTAGAACCAGGTGAAGCTGCCTTCCCTTGCCGTTTTCCTCCTGTGTAGGATGCTGGATGAATACTTTGAGGAACAGATGAAGGAAATAATCAAGTTGTGCTCCAGCCACCGTCAGACAATGCTTTTCTCTGCTACAATGACAGAGGAGGTAAGAGAGGCTGCTGAGAAACATGTTGAGGCAGAAAGGTGAATAGAAGTTTGTCGAGTCTTTTATTTTACCAGAGACTGTGTGGGCTTTTTTTTCTTAACCTGTTTTTGTAGGTGAAAGATTTGGCTTCTGTTTCCCTAAAAAGTCCCGTGCGAATTTTTGTGAACAGCAACACGGATGTTGCGCCTTTCCTGCGGCAGGAATTCATCCGGATCAGACCCAACCGCGAAGGGGACCGTGAGGCCATTGTGTCAGGTTAGCGATGAGCAAAGAGGAGATGGAATTTGTAGGTGATTATGGAGCAGGCTCCTGAGAAGACTTTCTTCCAGCTCTGCTGACACGAACCTTCCCAGATCATGTGATGCTTTTCACCCAAACCAAGAAGCAGGCTCACCGTATGCACATCCTACTTGGACTGATGGGTCTGCGGGTTGGGGAACTTCATGGGAACCTCTCTCAGGCACAGCGGTTGGAAGCACTCAGGTATTAGCAGGTTTAGTTGCCAATCACAGACAAAAAAGAAATTAGGAGATGGAAGTTTTAGGACAAAAGTGGATTACTGTATTCCTTGCTAATGCATTTGATATCTGCTCAGGTGCTTCAAGGATGAGCAGATTGATATTCTGGTAGCTACAGATGTGGCTGCACGTGGACTTGATATTGAAGGTGTTAAAACAGTAAGTATTTGCATTTTTGAACTCTTTCATGAGTCCTTTAATGCTGTTTTCCTATTAAGACTGTTTCTGTTATAGGTAATCAATTTTACTATGCCAAACACCACCAAACATTATGTTCATCGAGTGGGTCGGACAGCAAGAGCGGGCAGGGCTGGCCGCTCGGTTTCACTTGTGGGTGAGGAAGAGCGCAAGATGCTAAAGGAAATTGTGAAGACTGCAAAAACACCAGTGAAAGCCAGAATTCTTCCCCAAGGTACTCACTTCAATGAGGCAAAAAGCAGCAGAGCAGTACAAAGGGAATACCTTGGTACAGAGGGACACTGAAAGAGGTACCAATAAACAAGAGCTGCTTCTGATGTTCACGTGGTGTTTTCAGATGTCATACTAAAATTTCGAGAGAAGATTGAGAATCTAGAGAAAGATGTGTATGCAGTCCTGTGCTTGGAGCGTGAGGAACGTGAGATGCAGCAGTCGGAGGCCCAGGTAAGTGTTGGGTTTTTGTGGTGGTTTTTTGTTTTTTTTTTGTTTTGTTTTGTTTTTTTAACATACTTTTCTTAGAATCTGGAGGAGACGTAGTGCATAAGGTTACCCTAATGTACTTAACCTGCCTGCTCTAGAGAGGGAAGAGAGAGGGGGGGATTCTTTTAGCCACAATGAGTTTATTTCTTGCCTGAATTATCTCAGATCAATAGGGCAAAGAAGCAGCTGGAGACAGGAAAACAAGAGACTGGGGGTGAGGGTTTGGAGCGGAGCTGGTTTCAGACCCGTGAGGAGAGGAAGAAAGAGAAACGTGAGTCATGACAGTGCTGCCATATTAAATTCCATAGCTGCAACTGGACTCTGCTCTGTATTTTAAGAGGTTCTTTATTCTGTGTTTTTCGTTATCTTCAGTGGCTAAAGCTCTGCAGGAGTTTGACCTAGCATTACGAGGCAAGAAGAAGAGGAAGAAGTTTATGCAGGACAGGCAGAAAAAAGTACAAATGACAGTGAGTACATTTATGGACAAATGGGACCCTGGGGTGGACTATCCTAGTTTTCCTGTAGCAAAACATTCTATCACTGTAAACTTACATTATAACATCTTTCAGCCAGAGGAGAGGTCACAGTTTGAAATACTGAAATCTCAAATGTACGCCGAGCGGCTGGCGAAAAGGAATCGTCGGGCAAAGCGAGCAAGAGTCTTGCCAGAAGAGGAACCAGCAGTAGTACCAACAGGTGGGGATTTCTGTTTTGCAGCTGACAGTGTCACTTACTTTGCTAAAAATGGGTAAACTAAACTAATTTGTGCAGAGGGAGGCACTGAGCTTTCAAGGAATGGCCACAGGTGTTTGGCTAAGGCATGTGTTTGCAGAGGAGAGACATTGCTTTCCCTGATGGTTAGACTCACTCTTGTGGGCCGCTGGGTTCTGGTACACAAGATCATGCTGTGGCCTTCTCCTTACAGCAGATATACTCATTGTTGTCTCTGTGTTAGGCCCCAAGCGGAAGAAAAACGTGTCTGTGTTTGATGAAGAGCTTACCAACACGAGCAGGAGGGCCCTGAAGCAGTACCGTGCTGGGTAAGGTCTTGGCAGTAGTACATTAGTCCAGACTTTAGTAGGTGGGACTCTTTTGGATCTCTGGACTTTCTCAGGGATTCTTTGAATGATACTGGGAGGAAAAAGGTGGGCAAATCAGACAAGGGATTCTTGCAAGAAGTACCTGTATTACTGACATACTTCAGTGTTTTTTTGTCTTACTGCCTCCCCTCTCTTTAAAAAGCCCATCATTTGAAGATCGGAAGCGCATGGGTATGGCTCAGCGTAGGAAGGGAGGAAATTTCAAATCCAAGTCCAGGTATAGCTCCCTTTATTATTCCAAGATACTATTTTTCCCCTCGCTTTCTTCCTCCTCTTCTTGAGATTATTTAAAGGCCTTTGCTGAAAGGTTTGTTGGTTCTGCAGTAGCTTATCCTCCCTACTGCAGGTCTGATGCTGGGGGCAATCAAGGATACTGCTTTTAACAGCGTATTCCTAGGCTTCTGCTTGGGAGAGTGTTGTTTAGAAAATGTTTGGTGCTGCTCCTTTTCTGCCACTGAGAGTTGGGCTAGTGAAAGTAATTTCAAGTATCTTCTCTTTCAGATACAAGAGGAAGTAAGAAATGTTGGCAGTTACCAAATGGGCAATTCCAGACACATTCTCTCCAGGTCCTTTCTGCTGTGAGGACACAAATTCAGTAAAACTGAAGATTTTATTCCAAGTTCTGGAATAGCTTTGGGATGCTCATTAAATACCTGGTTGAAGACCCTGTGTGAAAATATTTTCAGCACCCCATGCAATAAAGGATTGATGACTTTTTTCCTAAAAAGCATGCTCTGTTTTTATAGGATATCTAGAGCAGCTGAGAGCCAGGATACGTTACATTTTTCTATCTGTTTGTGTAAGTCAAGTAGTCTTTAGGACAAAAACTATATATTTATTGCTTTGTTCATATAATTCTGTGATCTTGTTTAATTAATATGGCTGAAAAAGGATTTCTGTGGTTGAGAGCTTATTTCTAAAAGAGGGAAAAAAAGCCTGAAAGACTGCATCTCACCAGGATGGCTTCAGAGGTAACACACGAGTTAAACCAAATCTTCAGGAGGCTTCTATGTGAAGAAAGGGGCAAGAAGGGAAGACAACAAAAATCAAGGCTGTTCTATATTACTCTGCAGAATCGACGATAGGTTTGCTTGTCCTGGCTTTGTGGCTAAAAGCACTGCAGCTCCAGCTAGGAAGGCCAGGCAGGTTTACTGCAGGCTAATGAGCAGCAGCTCGATGCAGCACACCAGAGATGACTGTCTGTGATACAGGCATCACTGTACAAACGAGCACAGTGTGAATAAAGCAGGGACAGAACTGATCAGTAACCCACACTTCCTCTCACTGAAATGTTAAACTTCCTTTGAATTTTTACCATCTCTACCATCCCAATTTTATTTTTTTTTTAATTTTTTTAAAATCAGCTTCAAACCTGCTCTTCTGGGGTGACCAAAGTGCAGGAGTGAAAAGTAATGGCTGCACTCCTGAAATAGACCAGGACAATAGTGACTCAAAGTATTGGGTTTCCCAGCTTTATTAAAAAGGGCAAACTTTACAAGCAGTAAATATAAAATGTACAGGGCAAGGTTTTGACAGTTGGTACTGCTCAGTACATTCCCTTAATCAGTCTTCTCACAGTTCAGGAGTACATTATGAGTATCTTATGGCCGTGGTGGACGCATGCCAGGTGGAGGGGGTCCTGGGAATAAAGGAAAAAAGTTGTCTATCAAAGAGGAAAGAAGCAAGGCTAGACCAGAAAGATGTTTTCTCCATGCTCAGAGGCCTTAGGACCCCTTTTGGGGGACTGTGGCGTTTACTGACAACTAAGATAGCTGGGCAGGCACTGCAGCAGTCAGCTTCCCAGCTTCTCGGCATTTAAGATAACCTTTGCTCACCTCTCATTCCTGGGGGTGGTGGTCTCATGCCTGGTGGGGGCATTCCCATAGGAGCACCTCGGCCAGGTGGCATTCCCATTGGTGGGCCCATAGGTGGTCTCATGCCTGGAGGAGGTCCCATCATTCCTTAAGCCAGAGAAAGAACAAGCATATGGACCCAGCTGACTGTTGGAGGCACTACCTCAGTATCAGAATGATCCTCCTCAACACCAGATCTTCATCAGACTTCGATAAGTGCCTCTTTATCACCCATTCTGCCACATGACACGAGCTACTGGCTGCGCCACTCTACAGAGTAATACCTACCTGGAGGAGGTGCTCCTCTGCTCATGGGTGGGGGAGGACCCCCACGCCCGGGTGTGTACTGAGTTGGGGCCCCTGCTATGCTAGCAGTGGCTGCTGCAGCAGCAGCTGCAACTGTTCCACGACCCTGAGGTGTCATAACCTGTAAACAAAATAAACAGGCTCACAGAAACAGAACATCTGCTTTACAGCAATAACTAAAACATAAGATTTCTTTTTCCCTTCAGAAAATTACACCAGTCTCCTCTCAACATATCAAATAATGCTATAAGCCTGTAATGCAATCCAATGGATATCACTTGAATTCTGTACAAGAAGCTGCACTTCTCAAGCCTCTTCTTCCATTGTATAAGACAGAATTCGTGGGGGATCTAGCACCAAAAAGCCTTGCTAGGCTCAGACTCCCTGTTCACAGAAGCTAAGATTATGGTTCTTCCACTCCACCGATTGCTTGCATCACATTGGTACCAAGAATTAAAGTCACCCCAGAATATAGTAGACAACTCTTTTTTTAATGGGTCACACCACCTCACCTGCTGGGATGGTCCCCCCACTCCTCTGACAGGGCCAGCTAATCCTGCTGGAGCCTGTGGCATGGGTGCACCTGCTGGTACTCCCCTCCCTGCTGCTCTCCCAACTCCAGGTCCTCCAGCAGCTCCAGCAAGAGGTACTCGGGCAATTCCAGTCTGCAAACACACACACACCCCCCACAAAGAAAGATTTATCAGAACAAAAGTCCTTAGATCCTAGGAATGCCCACAGCCCTGCTCTGTCCAATTAATGTCCAAGCCCACAAAGTGATCAGAATTTCCTGCAGTGAAATTTGTTGGACCTAGTCACAACAACATCTGTAGGTCTACAACAATACTGCAGTAGCATTCTCCTGCAAGGAAGCAAATTTATCAGCCATCCCTCCCCTTTTTCCTCCTTAGTTCTGCACTCATTCTCCTTACATCTTTTGGAGGTGGTCCTTCGACTGTCATGGATACCAGGTTTTCTCCTCGCAGCAACACGAGACCGAGGACTCGTTTCTCTTCCCGCTCTGGCTGTTTTGAATTTTTAGGTCTAGTGAGAAGAGAAATAAACATTGCAAGACAAAGAAAAAGTAGTCCATGCTGCTCTTCCAATCTGCAAGAGACCATATGGCTAGCCTGCTCCACAGAGGAGAACCTACTGTAAACCCCACAGTTCTGTAAGCCTCAAACCAAGTGCATACAGAAGTCTAAACAAAAGATATGTCCTATCTCCATGATTTTTTTCCCCATGATGCTTAACTGTTACACTGACTATGTTAGCATCACATGAAGGTATTTTTCGGTTATTAGGAAAGAACTGAAACCAAGTGCCCTTTGAACGCTGGCAGTTCAGGGGTTTGACAAAAGATACCAAGCCCACGGCAGTTCCCGCAGGAGCTGGCAGCGCACGTCGCCCAGCTGCTGCGCCGGCATCGGCGCCTCCCGCCCTCGCGGAG